AACTAAGTGATGGCTGTTGGTACTCTCCTGCAACCATAGGCCTTCGTGTGACATGGCAGGCCACTCTCAAGCCCTCAAAGCACCAGATCACCTCACTTCACTCTTGCGGAGGGTTGATTCTTGACATCGTGATTTCCGCGGAAAATTTCTTTGTGCGCCGTGAAAATTTCCGGCGTGAAGAGAGGGAAAACACAGCCGGGGGGGCCCAGACGCGGTCTCACCCACACGTGTCCATCCTTGTTCGGACATGGTCTAGACGTCGAGCATCTTTCTTCTCCGTGCATCGTGGCTGCGGAGTTGTTGGCACCCTTGTGGCATCTTCGTCCTTTAGCCCCCTCCACCCTCCCCCCCCCTCGCCCGCGCGTCAGGTGGCGGAGGTGGTGTCCATGCTGCAGCGCGCGGGCAAGCGCGTCCTCCTCATCCTGCCGGCAAAGTACGCGCGCGACGTGGTGCCCAACCACACCAGCTCGAGCCAGGTGGCAGCGGTGACAGCAACAGAGTAGCGGTGGTTAGCCGTGCCACATCACACTCGCTCGAGCCGCGCGGAGGCCGAGCCAGGGCCGCCCCGCCGCCCCGCCGCCCCTCCTTGACCGCGCGCCCTGCACCCGCCGCAGTAGCAATGATAATAGATGATGACGCTGATGCTGCTGATAACCCGATGCCCTCCCGCCCGCCGCAGCCCGACGACCGCATCACCGCCGCCGACCGCGCCCTGCTCGACGGGTGGAGGAGCGAGGGCCTCCTCTACACCACCGGCCCCGGCATGTACGACGACTGGTACTGGATGCTCGCCACCGTCGGCCGCGGCGACTCTCAGCCCGTCGCCGTCACGAACGACGCGATGCGCGACCACTGGGTGCTTGGTCCCAGCCTTCCGCACGCCCCCTCCCCTCCCCTCGAGCCTCCGCCGCCCGGGCCCCCACAGGCGGACCTGCTGCCCGCGCGCGACTTTGCGCGCTGGAGGGCCTCAAAGGTCGTCCCCTTCTCCTTCGGCGCCGCCGCCTCGGCACCTCGCGACGCGGCCGCCCCGCCCACCCACGCCGTCGCCGACCCGCCGGTCGCCGACCCGCCGCCGGCGCACGAGGCGCCCTCGCTGCGCGCGTGCGTCGGCTCGCCGCCGCCCTACTCGGCCGAGGCGCAGCTGCTAGCCGGCCGCTGGCACGTCCCGCTCCCCGACGGCGCGCCGGAAGGGGAGGGGGGCGGCGCGCCAGAGCCGGTGGGGCAGTGGCTCTGCGTTTCGGTCGTGCCGCCGCCGCGGGTGCGGAGGGCTGGCGACCCGCAGGTCGCGGTGTGTCGGTGACGTGGGAGAGGGTTGGTTAGAAAGCTTCGTGTCGGGGGCACCACCTCGGGATACAAAATGCGCCTGTGGACCCTCAGCTCCTTGGCGCTCGGCTCTAGGTAGGTGTGGCCAGCTCGTGGGAACTCTGGGAACCAGGCAGCTCCAGCCTCCACCCCCCCGAGCCCCGTGGCGCGTGGGCGGAACGCCCGCCCGCCTCCCGTGCGCCGCCCCCACCCGACACCGGAGCGGTGCTCCGGCGTCCGGGGGCACGCCCCCGTGCACGCCTCCTCATATGGGAGCGGTGCTCGCCATGTCGATCTCCGCGCACCGACGCGGCGCGCTCGATCTCCGCGGTCGGCTGGGCCGCCGCAAAGAGCGGCCGCACATTGCTCGGTAGCTACCCCCCCTGCACACCTAAGCCCATGGCCGACACCCCCCCCAGCAGCAGCGCTCTGCTGCTGGGGGGTCGGGACCCCCCCCCCCCCCCAGCAGCAGCGCTCTGCCTGTGGGGGGTGCCTGGCATCTCTGTACAGACAGCAGCTGTAGCTGTAGAGCTGAGGCTCGTCGGCCACCCGGGTACCTCCTCCAGGCCAGTGTCCAGAGGTCGTCAGTACACAATGTCTGAACATTCTCGCCGACGCTCCTCGAGTTCGCCGGATATGGCGCCGTGGTTAGAACAACCCCCACCTGTCAAACGACGGACGAGCGGCTACATGGAGGCGATGGAGCAGCTCGAGGAGGCGGAGGCTCACCGTGAGGAGTTGGGTGCAGACGCGCTCGAGGCCGCGATCGGAATCGGCCTCGGCGGCGAGGGATCGACCTTGGGCTCGGGCGTCAACCGGCGGCGTTTCATGTACGGCGGGGGCCTCCCCACCAGCGCAGGCCCGTCAGGCGGCGACGGCAGCGAAGCGCGAGGCGGCCTCTCGCTCCGCTCGCTCCTGCAGATGGGCTTGGCTCAGCATGCGACGGGCAAGTCTTCGTCCGCCGCCGGCTACACCGAGCTCCGCGACTCCGAGCCCGGCTCCTTCGCCGTCACCCGCAAGAAGTCGGCCACGTTTGCGGACGCCGCCTTTGCAGAGAGCCTTCCCTCCCCGAGCCGGCGGCGCATGGGCAGCCGGCCCAACTCGGCGCGCTCCCTGCTCAGCATGAGCGACGCCAGCGAGCGCTACGAGACGCCGCCCAGCGGCTTCAACTCCCCCAGCGGCCTGGCCCGAGCGAGCTCGCTGCGGCGCGCCCGCTCCATGTCCGCCGCCTCGGCCGCCTCGGCCGCCTCCGCCGCCTCCGCCGCCGCCTCCTCCGCCGCGGACCCACGCGCGTCGCCGTGCATCACGCGCGCCTCCTCGATGCGCCGCTCCGCCGCCCTGCCCCCCGACGCGCTGCCCCTCAAGCGGGCCGGCTCCAAGGGAATCGGCCTGATCGCCGCGGGGGGCGTCGAGGACGAGGTCCCCCTCGTCGACCACGGGCTCGGGCTGGGGGCGCGGCTCCGCTCCTCGCTCGGCGCCTTCAAGGCGCGCGCGCAGGAATTCCTCTTGATCGCCGCGCTCGGCGTCGGCGCCGCCACCCTCTCCCTCGCCATCACCCTCACCGCCGCCTTTCTGCACCGGCTGCGGCAGCGCATCGCCGAGCGAGCGGCGGCGTGGGGGCGCGGAGACGCAAAGGGCGGCGGGGAGGAAGAGCTCGACGCCACCGCCGCCGCGCTCGGCCTGGTGGCGCAGTACGGGCTCTACATCGCCTTCTCGCTCGCTTGCGCCACCGTCGCCCTCGCCACCACCCTCCCGGCGGTCGGTGGCTCGCGGCACGCGGCTGGCTCGGGCGCGTCCCCCCCCCAAGGCGGTGGGTGGGCCGCGCTGCTGACACGTCCGTGACGTGCGTGCATGAGTGCCGTCGCGTAGGCATCCCCGAGATGAAGGCCATCCTCTCCGGCTACTGGCTCCCGCGCTACCTCTCGCCCTCCACCTTCGTGGCCAAAGTGATCGGCCTGACGACCGCTCTCGCGGCGGGCTACACCATCGGCCGCGAGGGTCCCCTCGTGCACCTCTCCTGCACGCTCGCGACGGGGCTGATGACGCTGCCCGGCTTCGGCGCCATCGCCGAGTCCCACAACCTCAAGCGGTCCATGCTCGGCGTCGCGTGCGCCGTCGGCGTCGTCGCAACCTTCGGCACGCCGATCGGCGGCGTCCTCTTCTCGATCGAGGTGACGTCGACCTACTACATGGTCTCAAACCTGTGGCGCTCCTTCCTCGGCTCCTTCT